TTTCTGTGGTTTCAAACAATTTAGCCTCTGTTTGGTAGAATTTAAAATTTAGATTTTAATTTAAGTAAAAGTTAACAATTAATGTTAATCACATGTTTCATAAGACTCGCAGTTTTTCAACCACACATTTTATTAATTTTTATCAAAATTTATAAAAATTTTATTTTAATCTCACCAGACAAGGGTTTAATATTTTAATAAAAAGTAATTAGCACATAATATTCCTACCATTCAATATTATTGTGCAAAACGTTCATACCTTCTATGTTTTGATATTTTTACCTTTAATTACACATTTGATTGTATAAACCGTCTTTCCATCCATTTCTTGTCAATTTTCTTAAATGGAAGGATAATATGATCTTAGAAAATTTTGCCCCTCTCTTCCGCTACGCTTGAACAGTTTCCTTACAATTTCTCTTCAATAATTTTCCCCTTTCTTCCCTATCTTTAATTGCATTATTGGAACGCACAAATCATCGTTCCATGAACCTGTAATTGCCAGAAAGAGAAAAATCAAAACTTTACACGTATCTCCAATGTAAACAACAAAATCTACTGAAAATAGTTTTAATTATCAGCCAACAAACAGTATAACAGTTAAATGAATATCCAGATCAAAATTCATGCGAATTCTTAAATTAAATTCCATTTGGTTTTTCACTGTTATTTTCCAAATTGGTATTCAATTTTGAACCAAAATAGAAGAAACACTTGACCAACTGATAAATGAGATTTCCTTTGATAACAAAATTCTGGGTTTTGCAAGAATTTCTAGTTAATTATTGTCGGATCTATGGGGTACAAATTAAACTTCTGTTTGGTAAAGATTAAAATTATATTTTTTTTATAGATTTTGAATTAAGTCTTTGAAATTTATGATTAAAAAGTTGTGGAACCATGAAACGTGTGGTTAATATTGATTATTTAACTCTGATTTAGATTAAAATTCAATTTAAATCAATACCAAACGGGGGTTAAATCCTTTGAACATTTTTGAGGGCATTAAATCTTGAATCCAGGGTAGAAGGTAAAAAATAAGTATCTTTGTTTCAAACGTCTTCTTTACTATAATTGCTGTTGTTGTTGCTGTTGCTCCTCACACACCTCTTTCTCAAGAATGGGGAAAAATATCGAAGAGAAATCTCAACGAAATTGTGCACACATAAGGGAAGAAAGGGGCAAAATTTTCTAAGACGATATTACCCTTTCATTTGAAAAGAAAATTGCCTACATGTATTCACTTAATGGAGAAATTGACAGGAAATTATCTGAATGACTATTTGTGCAATCAAATGTGTAATTAAGGGTGTGTTTGAGCCCCGTTATTTGTCATTATAATAAGATGAATGGTATTTTTTTTTTGTTAAAAATGAGTGGTTGAAATTTTTTTAATTTATGTGTAATATTATTTTATTAAAAATTGTGGGGTCAAAAGTAGGAGAGAAAAAATTTTAATTTAATGTAATGAAAAATAATGGGATTCAAACGAAGGCTAAGTATGAAAATATCAAAAAGTAGAAGGTATAGATATTTTGCAAAATAATATTAAAAAATACGAAGGTTACGTGCGAATTAGCATTTTAATAAATATCCGTAGCTTGCTTCCAGAAGGGAAACTTGTCTATTCCCGAGAACCGTGATTTACAGCACGAAAACAATGGAAGTAGCGACGTCGTTTAAAAGCATCGTATAATTTAGATTCCTCTCTTTGGCCGGTTGTCTTGCGGCACAATTACACGCGTCAATTATTGAGTTGTGCGGATTATCAGCCGCCGTCTGCGCTGAGCTGCACTGTCTCTTTGACCCAAAGACTGGCATCTAATCATTTCCCGAATTACAACTTTGATACGTGGATTTGATTCCACTCGGCTTGGTTTGTCACTTCACTTATAATTTTTTTCAATTTTTCTTTCAACTATTTTATTTTTGATATCTACATGTAAATATGTCTCCGATTATTATTTGGAAAAAAATAATATCTAAAATAGTGAATTTTTTTGAGAATTTGTAGTTAAAAGTTAAGGAAAAAAAATTAGGTTCACGTGCTCAATATTTTATTGTGTGAATGTGCAGTTGAAAATAAATATGTAAAAAATAAAATTTTGAAAAAAAAAAACATTAAAAAGGGTATATAGTCCAAATTGGATTTACTTAAAATCAATTTTTTTAATTGAATTATGATAAAATTGATAAAATATATGATCAAAAGGTTGATAAAAATTATAGTATCATAAAATGTGTGATTAAAAATAAATTTAACAAAAAATGAATTTTAAAAACTAGGGTCAAACATGCGATGCAACTCGTATCTTATAATAGTTAGTTGAATTTTAATAAAGAGATGCATATTAGTATAAGTTTTAATTCTTATGTACTTAGTTGAATTTTAATATAGGGATACATATTAGTGTCAGTTTTAATTCTTATTCAGGGGCGAAGCCAGAAAATGATGCTATAATGGATTGAAATTTAGAATTTTTTAATGAATTTACTTTTAAAATAGGCTAAATTCATGACATTCACGACAAAGAGTGTACACTACTCAATGAAATAAAAGAACTCTAAATGTTTCTATGTAAGATATTCCATTAATTCTTTTTATATTTTCTTACCAAATAAAAAAATCGACAATTACGTTATAGAAATAAACAAACAATCATGATTGGAATAAGCAAAGGATACATATCCATCAATGAAAAACTCAGAATTTATTTAATGAATATTATTCTAAATAAATTCAACAATCAGTATTTTCAAACAACTAAAAAATTTGGTCGAAACACGTAATCAATAATACATCACTAAATGTTATTGTTTCAACATAATATTTGTTATAGATAACAATCTTCTATATCACTTCATTTCATAGTGAGTGGAGAATTACATCTAAAGTGAAGAATCAACAAAGGATTATGAGGGTCTTAAGAATTTAGATTTAATTCATGTTCATATTTTTCTTAGTTTCAAGAAGATAACTATGTATAGATTAATTTATAAATAATAAATTTCACAAATATTCTTTTTATTGACAAGATTACATTTAATACAAGTTATTTATTTTGGTTATAACATTTATTTCATGTTCAACATGATTTTTTTTTCTTATAAGTATGAATAGGTAATATATGAAAACATATGTAGAAATAAAAAATTAATTACTTTTAAGGTTAGCAAAAAATGTATTGTATAGTGTCTCTAACTATTAAAATAAGTAATTTTTAGATCTGATCAATAAAAATTTTCTATTATAAAATTTACTTAATTGCCATAAGTAAATTTAGTCAAACACGCATTAAATAAAATGCCTAATTTAAAAATAAGATTTCCCATTTCTTAAATTTCATGAAAATAGTATCTAATAATTGTAGCATTTTCAACAGGATTTGATTAATTGAACATTGAGCTTGGGTTAGAATTCAAATAAGAGCTGGTATAACACGAATATTTGGACTAAAATTAAACAAACTCTTCTTTATTTTCTAAATGGGCTGCTCCCCACTATCTCCGCCTCTGTTTCTATCTATCCATAAACGAATATAAAATTGGGGAAGAACAATTCACATGTAAGGGTTTTGTCTACTCTAACTTATCATCTCAAGCAAATTATCCCTATTAAGAGAAATTGTCTATGTAATGGCCAACTCCACACCTACTATCTAGTTCATCATTTTAAGCAATGTTCCTATCATAATGTGTCTTTACTTCTTCGAATTAGATTGTACATTTGCATCAGGGGTGGATCTAGAAAAAATTTTAAGATGAACTAATACACAAAAAACAAAACAAAAAATCACGCATAAAAAAATTTTACTTAAATTTTTTTTAAAAAAAATTATGAATGGGGCTGGTAGATCTGCCAATGATTTGCATGATATGTTCGATACATTAAACTCGATAACATAATACTTAAAAAAGTAGTTTTTCTCGATTCTTTCCCAATGCAGGAAACCTCAAGAGAAACATACTACACAATTTGCCAATTATTTATCCTAAATACCTACATGTATTTGTATGTGTAAATATTGTAATATATACAATCCAATGATTTTCCTTTCTAGAGATGTAAATTCATTTCGTCGGCTCGGACCGCTCGGGAAAAGTTCAAGCCAACTGGCTCATGGCTGTATGAAATCAAGCCTCGTTTTGAGGTGTCGGCTGAAGCCCTGGCCTGCTCGTGTGGCTCGTAACGGGTAGCATAGGGCAACTATACTACTGCCCAAGTAGTTTCACTACTGCCTCACAAGTCGTACGTAGCTGCCTCTTACGTGCTACTTCAAGACAGGCAACAATGTTGCTGCCTCTTAAAATTTTGAAATTGTATGTTAAAAGCCTACGAGATTTGAAATTTGAAATTCAAATTAATTAGTAAGTTTTTAAATTAATTAATTAAAAAAATACATAATATTTTAAACTTATTTGTTTAAAAAAAATTATATACGAAATATTTTATCTGTATACAATTTTAATTTCATTTACGTTGATTGTAGTCAGTCTCAAATTCGGAAAAATGAGGAGGATTGTAACTTTTATTTAATTTATATTTCATATAAATTGCACAAATTTTACATTCTTTAAAAATACGTTAGAATTGTCGCCCAAGAAAAAATAAAAATGATTCGGCTCGGCTCACCAAGGCCCAAGCTGAAAGCTCGGGTCAAGCCTCGAGCCGAGCTCAGGCCAAAAAAACCAACATAATTTTACTCGAGTCAAACCCGAACCTCAAATTTTGGCTCGACTTGACTCGTTGACATTCCTCTTCCTTTCTAACATTTTGACTCCACCTCACACGAGCATTGATGCATATACACGTAAAGGTGACTACATTTTCTCAAACCTATATAACTTTTCGTATATGCATCTCAGTTAAAACTCCCACCTACTAAATTCACAACGCTTATCCATATATGAGCATCATTTTCCAATATTAACTCCACCGTACCCCACAACCCTAATTACTTAGCACATATATCTACACTTTGTTGCTAGAATGTCCTATATTTAACCACAAAATGTGTCATGCACCTTAATATCTTAGTTACAAATGTATCCTAGACTTTTAGTACAAACGGTGTATAGACTAAGTGAAAAATGAGTTCTAGACTAGGAAATTGTGAGGAACGAACTTCACCAATGCCATCTTCAATCGCAAACAAATCAAAGTCCTTTTAAGTCTCCTACCCACCAGCAGTGCCTAGCTTCCCATCAAAAAGCATCTTCCTTGTCATGATGTTATGCTATACATAAACAAAATCCACAGGAAAGCAGTAAGAGATCAGCATATGATAACAAGCACTTTCACAACCAAGAAAATCGAAAAAAATAAAACAAAGACTTGATTGAATGTAAATTGAGATAAACTAATTGCACAATTTTATAAGCAAAATGTTGTCGATTTTGGATAAAAGTAAATAAGAACAACCAATATAATAGTTTAATCTTTCCTTTTTTTATCCATGATTGCTTAAACTCAAGAAAGAGAGGAAAAAAATAAGATTACAACCAATATAATAGTTTACTCTTTCCTTCTTTATAGTATGACCAGGTTGATAGCTCTTCATTTAACAATCTAAGTGGCTAGTTAATTCATTTAACAATCTAAGTGGCTAGACTAAGCCAAAAATATTTCACACACACATATGTAAGTGGCTAGTTAATTCATTTTTATTTTTATATTTTTTTTGATCGGTAAGTGGCTAGTTATTTCTTATCTGTATTAGAAGAAGGAAAAAAAAAAAAAAAAAAAAAAAAAAAAAGAGCCAACCTAGAACGTGAATTCAAGAGGCAGGGTCCATACTTTTGGGGAAAAAAGTTTTAAATAGTGATTTTTAAACATGTATGGTTAAAAAATAGAAATATATTTTGGATTTATGTACAAAATATTTTATTGTGTGAATATATGTTTGAAAATGAATATGTAGAAAAAATAGTCTGAAAAGTATGGTTGTCAAATAAGGATTAGTCCCTCTTTGGTTTAGTTAAAAATTTGATAAAAAAAAATTAAATCATACTCAATAATTAACTTTAACTACTTATTTCATGGTATCTATATCTTTTATCGACTTTTCAGTCACTCATTTCATCAAATTTTTATCAAAATCGATAAAAAAAAAATCTAATTTTTAGCGTAACCAAACAGGGACCTAATCTTAATTAATATTTCCTCCCCTAATGAGAGTCCATATAGTCACAATCTTTTTAATATTTGAAGTAAAATAGTTCCATTTATTTCAAATGAAATGAAATTTGGATTAAAAATATATTGATTAATTCGTATAAAAATTAAAACCAATGTTGTATGGAGTAAAGTCAATATTTAGATAACCTAAAGTATACACAAAAGCTATACAGTTATGCTGCACAACGAAGCCGTGAGCTGCAAGTAACAACTAAGAACCGATTTCTTTAGTATTGAATTACTTTTAGGGAGAGATACGGGTAATACACTCAACACAGTGACGCCATCTTGACAACATCCAATCAAAATCTATTCCTTCCCCATTCAATCATTTCAGTTCTTTCCTCTATAAATTCCTTCCCAAATCCCTGCTTTTCCCCAGGTATTTAATTCTTAAGCTCAAAATAGTATAAGCAACCCATTTTTCAATGGCAGAAGAATTTCAAGAATCTGAAGTCATTTTTCAAGAAAATCTCGAATATAAAGACCGTGAGGAGTACAGCAATGTTCCAGTTGATTCGATTTCTCGAGAGTTCACAAGAATAATAAAGGGCAAAAGGAAGAAGTTGAAGAACAAGAAGAATTCAGTTCCAGTGAATATACCGGAAAATGCGAATAGAAAGTCATGGTTTCAGTATGTAGATTCTGATTTTTTTGGTGAAGATATTGGCGATGATGGAGAAATGGTCCCACCCCACGTCATCATCGGACGGCGTCTTGCTGGAAAGATGCTGGCGTTTTCAATCTGCACCGGGACTAATGGGAAGAGACTTAAAGGAAGGAATTTGATGGAAGTCCGAAATTCAATTCTCAGGATGACAGGATTTCTTGAAACATGACTTCTTCCGGTGAAGGCCAGGAATAACACAGCTGAAGAAATTGAAATAAAAATAGAAAATATTTTTTAGCCACCTTTTGTGACTTCAATTTTCATCCTTTGATCGTTATAGAATATTCAGAATGCACGTAATCGACTGTAGCAGAACTGAAAATTCATTTTTCTCAGAAGAGAAGGATATTAAAATCTTTGAAATTGAAACAAATATAATTTTCTTATTTTTGTTGACATGTATTATAAACAAATAATTGTTTTATTATCCTGTTCTATATACATAAATAATTCTGTAGCTTATGAAGATCCATTTCAGGGTGTTATCAAAGTTTCTGTTGTACTGTTCTTCATTCACAGCTATTTATTCAGTGAGATAGATTTTATTTATATATGTTGGTCAAGTATATATATATATATATATATATATATATAGGCTATCGAATAGATTAATTTAAGAAAATTTATTAATGAGGGAAGATAGTGAGACGTGAAAGAGTGTGATAAAATATTTTAATTTATTGTTCCCTTTTTTTTATTTATTTCATTTTCTATATAATATACTTCTAGCTTCAATAAATAAAAATACAAGTCAATCCTGTTCGAGACGGAAACGTATTCCCATTTCTCACTTCCATCTTCGTCTCGTTCAATTTTTTGACTGAGGAAAATGGCACAGAAGGAATGAGATGGACGACACATTTTGAAATCATTATATTATTATGCTCCTATTTAGTGCAGATTAAAATTTAATTTTTATTAAATTTTGATAAAAATTCAGGAACATGGGATTGAAAAATTATAAATTTCTTGCAGTCAAAATTAATTTTTTATTTTATTTTAAAATTTAATCAATTTTTAGCTCGAACTTAAAAGTAAAACAGTTGGCAACGCAGGCACGTGTGTATTACGATTCTAAGACCCCCAATAACATAGTATAATGCTCCTCATCCAGGCTAAAAAAAAAGATCAAAAAACAATGGGCTACCTGTCCCTAGGCCTGGATGAATAGCAGGTTTCACAAATTTCACAAGCCGAACTTGTCTAATGTGGACGAAATAAAAGCCAAAATTTTCAATTGAAATTAAGCTTTCATGAATTTATTGCAATTCGTAAAATATAATAATTAATTCTACCCATGTTATGAATTAAAGTTTGAAAAAGAATGCCGAATGAAATTAAATGGGCTTTTTTTTATTAGATTTGCTGAGTTAATCTAATAATTTTTCAAGATAGAAGAAAATAATTGATTGAGTGTACGGATCGAAAAGTGGGGATTATCCAAAACATAAATTTAAATATTTTGAGGAGCAATCTAGATGATTTGCAATGACTTATAATAATTTCAAGTAAGAAATCATTTTATCAATAGAAAAATTGTCCTCATTTTTATTAGAAGTCAACTTTATAACACAAGAAGTATAAACAAACATTGTGCAATTTTTCAAGAATGTTGAAATATACGTTTCAAATATTTTCTTCTGTTAAATTAAATAATTTATCTATAATTTTTGCACACGATCATTTGACCTTTTTTTATTAAAAATGAAAGTTTACCGCTCTCTTTGTACTACATAGTTGTCTTGTCAAAATTGACGTCTAAAAATATTTTTGTAATATGTATCGAGTCTATTTGCATATTCTATGATGATTTCACGAATTATGTATTGGAATTTTGACTTGTCCGTTTATTTAAAGGGAAAATTGCTGTAGCGATTCCTAACATTTTCATTTTTTACAGATTTTACCCTAACCTTCATTTTGTGCTAATAAAGGTTCATAACTTTTTATAAATATGCAACTGAGATCCATCTCGACAGAAACCTTTCAAAACACTGTGAGTTGACCTGAAAAATTTCTTGAACGATCTGCTACTGTGGCTATTTTATTGGATGTTGATATCTTTCTAGAAGATGTTTTGGACGATTTTATTGGATGTTGAGTCCTTATTTTTTTTAATAAACTAACGGTATTTTGAACATTTTTCATCCAGATGGATTTTAGGTTCATATTTATGAAAGGTTAGGAATCTTTACTTGCACAAAATGAAGTTTAGGGTAAAGTCTGTAAAAAAATGTAAAGGTTAGGGACCGTTGCTACAATTTTCCCTTATTTAAATGTCAAATTCATTATTGAATTCCAAATAAAGACAGATGTGGGCTTTTCATGGTTCACTTGTGTCTGTACAAATGCGAAACAATATACTTCATTAGACCAATCTTTCATTTATTTATTTATTTAAATTCTGGTATAAATTATAGGAAAAACAAATACATGGTTGGAAATAATTAGGTATAATGATGAGTAATATTCCTAACATGTCTTCTTATATATTAAATTGATTATGTAATATTTGTAGTTATAATTATTAATTGAAGTTCTTCGTTAAATAATGATATGGCATTTCTTGACTCCAAATCTTGTTTTATCATGTATTTGGATGAGTTTTTTACCTTAGTATAATTTATACGTTGAAAATAGTTTTATTTCTAATTTTCAATTGAAAATTCCTTCTCTATATACAAGTCTAAAATATGTTTATTTTAAGAGATTTTCCTCTTTTTGGACGGTGTGACATCCTAAACCTAGTAGGGGTCATGATAGGGTCGTCGAAGATAAGGTTGCATTATTGCATAGAGGAGTTGGAGAATGGTATGGGAAGACAAGGAGAGAGAGAGAGTCGAGCAAATGAATATTTGTGAGTTGGGATGAAGAAGAAGGTGAAATTTGAAGAAAAGACTAAATAAAATAATAATTATAGAAGTGTAAGTGAAAATCCTTTTTATGAATTGTACTTTTAGTTTAGGCCTTTCTAAATAAATTTCTCTTCATATAAATCGTAAATACAACTAAAAAAATTTTATTTTGTAAATGAAATTCGTAATTGGGAGGAACCAAGATAATACCAAACAAAGAATAAATAAATATATTAAAGAAAAGAAGAAAAAATATAACAAAATCAAAGTATACAGCTAAAAACATGGACAAGACATGATCCAGAAATAGTCAAAGAACACTAAATCATTCAAACCTAACCCTAATTATTGGGAGAAAAGAAGATCCATAAAGAAGGAAAATAATTCATACATTTCATTGGTTAACATTTCCCCACAATTTAATTCATAATATCTTCATTACTTTGTATGTGAACCTTAAAAAAAGACATGTTATAGACAACATTTGAATAAATAAATAAATTTATTAACTCATCTAATAATTTAACCTTTGAAAGGATGGGATGATTTCAGATATATTAACGCAATTTATTGAAGAAAATAGTATAAAACGTTTGATCCAGATAATATTTTGTTATACATTTGAGCTGCCTCGCTATTTCTAAAGAGCTGGGCCTCTTTAACTACTTTAGTACCCGACCCATTCACTAAAAACGTTTCTTTGTGTATCACATTTTTTGCCTCCCTCAAGTGAAGCTTTCTGTCGTACACGTGGCTTCTTGGCAACCTTTGATCTGTGACGATTGGTTTTGAGTATTTAATTTTGGGCTCTTCATTTTTCGGCAGATAACTAGTCTTTCTCTGTTGATTGTTCTATCTGTGTGAACTAGGGTTCTTTTAGAAATTGGTAACCATTCATCTTCGTGATGATTTCTCTGTAGTTGATTGTTTAGAGTTGTTTAGAAAATCTTTGTGTAAGATTTGGTACTACCATATTTTAAATAGAGAGGCTAGAGGGAACTTGAAGAAATCTGTAATTTCTTCATACATTTGTACGATTTCTTGGAAATTTAGTGGATCTAGAACTTAATCGCGCAGTCGATGCTCAACGAGTGAGTAGGTCTTTGTGACTGAACATCCGGACCCTTTTAAGGGTGAAAAATACTCTGTGTTCTTGTTTCTTTTTCTGAAATCCGTTTTTTAAATTTCTCAAAATTGAACAAACACTTTGTTAAAATACCAACAAGTGGTATCAGAACGGGTTTCGAAAAGTTGTTTTTTCTAAATCTGTTGAAATCTCAAGTTAACTAATAACTATTTACTTAAGTTAAATAACATCAAATATGTACCTAATTTGAAAAAAACTCTAATGTCCCTAGGGGAGTTAGATGACAAATATCATATTGTGATTCATAAAAGGCTTATAAGTATAAATGATGACAATGAGGAAGTCATCATCTCTCATAAGACACATGGAATTTACACTATTTTTGGTAAACCTATTGTAGGTTCCACCTCCACAGCTGTAAATCCTAAAACAAATCAATCTCTAATCTGGCATAAAAGACTTGGTCACATTTCAGAAAAATATCTTCTTCTCTTAAATAAACTTGGCTGTTTTGGAAAAGATAACATTGAGAAGTGAGATTTTTGTGAAGACTGTATTTTTGGAAAACACCAAAAACAATCTTTCAAACTTGGAATTCATAAAACATCATGCATTTTAGAATATTTACATGCTGATCTCTGGGGACCAGTCTCTGTAAATACACTGAGTGGCTTTAGATTTTATCTACTAATAGTAGATGATTTTTCAAGAAAAACATGGACTTTTCTGTTGAAACAAAAATTTGATACTTTTCAAATCTTTAAACAATGGAAGTTGATTATTGAAAATCAAACTAACAGGAAAATTAAAGCACTTAGAACTGACAATGGACTTGAATTTTGTAATACTGGATTTGATTTCTTTTGTAAAGAAAGTGATATATTAAGGCACAGAACTGTGACATACAGCCCGCAACGGAATGATGTTGCTGAAAGAATGAATATGACCCTATTAGAAAAGGTCAGGTGTATGTTACACAGTTCTGGCTTACCAAAATTTTTCTGGGGGGAAGCCCTCAAAACTGCAACCTAATTTATAAATAGAAGTCCATCAAGTGCTATTAACTTTCAAATACCTGAAAAATTGTGGTCAAGAACTATACCAGATTACAGAAAATTAAGAGTATTTGGCTGTGCTGCCTATGCTCATCAAAATGAGGGAAAATTGGAACCTAGATCACAAAAATGTGTCTTTCTTGGTTATGGAGAGGAAACCAAAGGATATAGACTTTGGGTTAAGGAACATAATGGTTTTAAAGTCATTATAAGTAGAAATGTCATATTCAATGAAAAGGATATGCCATGCTTGAATTTATCTGGACCAAAATTAAATGAATCCACAATCATAAAGGAAACTGTTCTGAAAAATGAAATTGAAAGCCTGATTGATCATATTAATCAGATTGAGGTGGAGGCCACTCAATCTAAAGCTGAAAGTGATCAAC